GGGGGGGGGGGGGGCAAGCAGTGGTGGAGCTGACTGGACTATGTGCACACTGGCTTAGCTTAGAAGTGCGTGGCAACTGTGTCCACAAAACAAATCAGTGACTGAACCATGATGTAGTGGGGAAATCTGTAACATTTAGTGAGCAACCATGAGAAACATTCTCCCTGCACTGGGTTACATGGTGTTTTAATGTTGTGAAATGAAAGCATGGCACTCTTAAGGTGTGGATCTTGATACCAGCATAATTAGGAAATATTGAAATACAGAATAGCATTTTTATTCCTCAGAAGTAATCAGGTAAGTTTCATACCAATCTTTTTTTAGCAATATGCCAGTAGGGATGGTTAAATAACTTTTATCCTCCATGCTAGTGTATCTTACTGAGAAACTAAAGGATGTTGACACACAAAAATCATTTTATGAAAGCTAAAAGACTCTATCTTCTATTTCAAATGGTTTTCATTAAAAGTAAAAATAGCCATGACAATTGATATGAAGTATAGATTCTTTCAATACCTTACCCAAAGCAGAGATGCCGATTCTTGCTTTTTTTGTAACTCACACTTGAGTGCATTGCTCCCATACATTGTGTTAGGTCACGCTGCCACAATCACCACTAAAAACATGGCTCAGATGAGTTTTTGCTGCGCTGCTGTAAACTGGTTTTCTTTTGCTGCAAAGATAACCCCAAGGGATGAACTCAAATGTTCCGCTAGAGAAGCTGTTCCTCATTACAAATCAGTATTACAACATGACAGTAGATGGCACTGCTCGAAATCAATCTGTATCGGCACATTTCCTCTAAACACAGCCAGAACAGAGGAGCTGTTAAGGCTCGCCTGGGAGACACTGGTTCATGCACAACACAAGCTAGTAACTATTAAAAAACACATGGCATTTGTTTTCGAGAGAGAGCAAGAGCAAGGGCTAAACTACAGGTCAAGTATGTTAGCAAAAGGCTTAGTTTAAGATGGCAGGAGTACCCATTCATCTACCATAGTCCCACCTTGCAGCTTTGCCACCACAGCTGCAGGCATATCCTACCAGGAAGCCCACCACAGGCAAGAGGGGAAGACACACACTGGCTGCCCTATTTTAAATTCCAAGCCATTTCTGCGGTGTTTTCTAGCATTAATGCTACTTAAGAGCAGTTGCACCCCACATACATCTTGAACGGAAAACAAATAAAGCTTTTCCTTTATGTTCTGGGCCCATTATGTATAGGCCTATGCATAGAAAGAAACACCCCAGATAAAGCTAAGAGTTGTTTGGGATCAGTCTGTATGTGGATGCACAATTCCTGAACGTCTTATTAAGTTACCAATGACTCTACATGATTTACATCCTCTTCATGCCTTGGTTTCTTTAACTAAAGAGACAGTAGCAAGTTGTATGGCAATATTTTTAATATGATCTACAGGCCCCACCTTTGCATATGTTTTGAAAAATATCAAACACCTAGCAATAGATAAGATACAGAGGAAATGTAAAAGATTTTTCTGGACTGTAGAATTAAGCAAGTTTCAGACTAAACTTGTCGAGACAAAGGACAAAAGTAATCAGCAACCTATAAATCTGTCACCACTAATTTAAGAAGTCAGAATGCATTACGGAAACACACTATTTCAACAGATTATGAAACATTTTGGTTGAATACACTAAAAACTAAAGCAACAAGCTTGAAGAAACAGTTGAGATACTTGTTAGCATTCTATTTCTCTTGGCCAACACACAACAAACTTCAAAATTGTAGTAAAATTACTTTTGTAAGGGAGAGAAGTATTCTGTCCTAAACAGACTGCCTGCCCGTGTGTTTCTGCTGTCTCAGTGTTATTTTAACACAAGCTGCATGCAGTTGCAAACAATTAGAAACACTGGTACTAGGTGCATTGAAGATCTGAGCCATTTCAAAAGCCAAACATCATGCATGCTGCCTGTGTAATAACTCCCATACATCAAAAAAGCATCTTATCAGGTCCAGTCTTTGATAAAGAGACTGCAGATTTTAGTTTCCCAACAGGATAACTTGAAAGCAATACTTTAAATACCTGTGCTACATTTTGTAGTTTAGATTTTCTTTTTGGAAGGGAGAGGGGGACCATCTAACTCAGACATCTTCAAGTTATGATCATCATGAGAGAGATCATTCACAGCCCAGCCTTTCCAATTGCAGAGAATTTCCAGTTAAAAGCATCCTTGCCTCAAGTAGAATTGTCAGATTTTTCATTTTGTCAGGAATCACACACAGAGCATCTACCTCTCTGTTATTTAAAAGGAAACTTCTAAATCTTATGTTACAAGAACTGTATTTGCAGGAATCAGAGACAAGAAAAGCCTCCCTAATTTGTTTACAATTATCTTCAACGTCTGAAGGATTGGTGTGAAAAACTCCTAAGTTCTCAAAGCTGGCTACTGAGCATGCCTTTAGTAAGACAGCTATGCTATACATGCAGAGTAAATTAAGTCAATACCAAAGAGTTTGTATTGGTCCATTGACTGACAAGGAAGATTAACATCAAAGCAAGATAAACATTAAGAGTTCTGTCATGCAGCATACACAGAAGCAAATCATGGTGTAATACTGTTCAATGAGCAAACAAAACCACTAAACATTATGTGATCTTCCATTAAGCGATAAGACATCTACAGTTTTAAACAAGATGACAATCGAATAATCTCCAACTAGGTTTTCAAATATCAATGTAAGAGCAAATCAAACTTATTTTTAGATAAATTACCTTTGTTTTTGACATTGAGTATAATGCATATAGTGCAATAAAAAAGTGTCATCTGTCTATCAGGCCATGAAAAGAAAAATATCAGGACACTCCAGCCAGATAAGGAAACAAACATTTATTAGAAACTGGTAGTTTTATACAGCTAAAAAGGTAAACATATGTTTAAGAGACAAAGAATACACAATTGAACACAGTCATCATAAAGGCACATAATGAAAAATTAAATTTGAAAGATCCCGTCTTTTCAACATCTGAAAACATCATTACCATAATATTCAGCACTCATAATGGCACTTTCACACTATGAACAAAATGGAGCAAGTCTAGAAGATAGACACTGCTGAAGTCATCTTTGCACCACACGCACACACATTTGCTTATTGGTCACAGTCAAACAAAATGATTTGGAACCGATCTCACAAATCCCACAAAGATTCAAGAATATTGGCAAAACCAAGAAACATTCAGATCCGAAAGGCATTGTACATATGGATGATTTGGATAGAATGACTTTATGTTTTTTTAAAAAAGTGCAGAGTCCAAGGTTTCCCTAAAGGGAAGGCCAAAAAAACACAGCTAAAGCTGCCGTTTTCTGAAATCTGTAAAACAGCATTTTATAATACAAATTTTATGGACTTGTTATATATCAGTTTATGGAGAATAAACACCAGCCATGGAAGCACTGAACACAGATTTACATCTGAATGTTGTTTGAATATGGCCCACATAGCATGTAGAACAAAGGATGTTCAGGCTGTTATTTATGTTTGCTTGCTTACTTATTTGGTAAAAAAAAAAAAAAAAAAAAAAAAAAAAAAAAAAAAAAAAAAAGTTCTTCTTTCAGTAATCCAATCTCAGGAAGTGGTTGAAGAGCAGTTTCTTTTAGAAGGCCAGAATAAGTATAATCTCAAATTCACAAAGATTAAGACACCACACATTGCAGGAACCAGAAAAAGCCCAACAAATGAGCTTGGCAATAACTGTCACTCTATTTCAGTGTTCAGGCCTGAAGGCAACTGGAATGTGGCACCACCTCTGTGCCCCCTGTTGCCCGCCAAGGAAGTCACTTTGGAAGTACTTGTACATGGAAATACCTAACTTTTTGCATGGCAGAAGTGCTGCTTTGTTTTTTGAGGAGAAGCTGTTTCTCAAGCACTATCAAGGTCTGTGTGCCTGCTTTGCTTGCTTCATTAACATCAATCTGATGGGCACCTGAGATCAGCAGTCCCATTTGGTCACTTGGACAAAACGCTTCAGTATTTTACTATCTGAATTTCACACACACAGCCAGCGTGCACAGAATACTGTGAGGGAAAGAGAATTTATCTCACATGACAAACCTGTAAAACTTCACATAATAATGCAACCCTCTATTGGCTAAAAGCACATAGTGGACTCTAGCCCTCTGAGTAAGGGAAAGAATAGAGAGTCCAAAATGAGAAGCATTTCTCTCTAAGGCAGCTATGATGAGCTCCACTACTGGCTGTATTATAATCAGCTTAATACTGGATCCTCCACCTCATTTTTAAAATTAACTTGCACTTGTACGGAATGAATCTAGCAACCAAGATTTTTCTGTTCCTAAAACATGCAGCTGTAACCCAAAGCTTGTCACGGTTAATTGTGCAATGAAATCCAGTGAAGCAAGTTATAAAAAAATCACTGATTGCATTACAAAAGTACTGTATAAATCCATTTGAGGTATTCTGATACCACGGAACAGCAGTTTCTCAGGCTCTTATTCTTTAAATAAAAATAAAATTTAAAAAATGGTCAGCCTGAAGGTAACGGTGATGGGCTACATTTTAATGTGTTACTCCACCCTTGTCTGTATCTAAGATCCTATTTCTTACAAACTTAACATTAAATCTTCAAAAAGATTAACAGTAAGTGAACTTTTAAGCGTGCAAAATGTTGCCTGTGAATTGCATGAGTATAGGCAGCATGACAAAACAAAAAGTCCCTTTCATATATTCAGTATCAAGGCAGCATAAACTTCTCCTACCTTTGGTTTGCTCCAGGCCAAATACACATTTAGAGAAGACAAATATAAAAAGAAAAAAAAAAAAAAAAAATAAACATATTGCTGATTTAGTTTCTTGATATTTTTTTAAAAAACTCAGTGACATTTTAAAGTGCAATACAGATGTCTGTTTAGAAATGGTGAACTAGTATTTAAGAAAGTTTCTTCCAACTTCAGGGCAAAAGTAGAAGTTGCAGCATCTCTCCACAAAGATCAGTCTCTGACTGTGAAAGCAGATTACTTCAGAAATCATTTTTGTTCTAGTGTTTCCAACAACATTTGAAGCATCTCACCTTTTTCCTTCATTTCACGCTATTCCCAAATTCTGCTTCATTTTTTCATACACAACATAGCTGATGCTGACAGCCGGAAGCACTTTCATAAAATTAGGGGCTATTCCCCTGTAAAGTCCCTGGATTCCCTCTGCAGCAATAATTCTTTGAAAGAGACCAATCATGTTTAGCTGTGGAGCTCCTTCCACTGAAGCTAGAACAAAAAAGACAATGTGTTACAACAGTTGTGGTTGTTATTAAAATTCTTAAGCAAGTCTTAAACACCTGGGTGGTGAGCCTACTGTCACCTCTTGGGCCACTGATTAAAACTTGAGTCCTCACAGAGAGATCTCTTTAATCCCAGACATTTGAGAGATATCCATGTGTCTAAATCCCACTGAAAAGCATTATCCACCTATATTCCTTTGGAAATCTAGGCTCTTACCCTCAAGTCTGTGCACAAACTTATCAAGCAAACATCTCAGCTATGAAACTGTCTTTATGAAACGTCCTCCAGAGCAAACAATGATGTCCACCTTCACAGGATGATGCAAGTCCTTTTCATTTTGCCTCTAAAATTTAGAAAACATTCTAAATTTTAGAAGAGTGCTTGCAGACTAGAACAGGAGTTCTTGGCCTCGTAGCTTTATATGGAATGTGGCTCTCAAAGCCCAGAACATTGGTGTCTGAAATGTTACCTTTGATTCGAGTATGACAAAGAACAATGTTGGGGCTAATAGGGAAAAGGGACCAACATTAAGAAGCATTTTCCAGGTAAGTCCTCAGTTTTCCAAGTTGGTTTTTTTTTATTCCCATGTCTCTGCTATAGCTATCCCAAATGACACAATTTTGATGTGACCACACAGACACATTGTCAGTACAACAGGACTCACCTTGAGCCTGCATGCGTGTTCTGATGAGAGCAAGAGGGTAACTGGCTAACTGCCCACATGTGCTGGAAACTGTACCACATCCCAATAAGACAAAAACACCTGGGTTAGCGGAACTTGATGCATAGTGTTCTAGCCATGTACTCTTTAACAGCTGCCAAGATATAAAATTAAGTAATCAGACAAGGGATCTGCATTAAAGAAAGTAAACATATACAGCTTTATTCATAATTAATCTTACAGGCTCAATCCTGAAAAGCACCGATCTCACTAGACAGTCCTACATTCTCACTTTTAAAGTGCACAGGCAAACACCTTAGCACACAGGTAAGGACTTTAACCAGACTACAGTAGCTAGGGCCTAGGAGACAAATCCTTCAAACATCCAGCAGCAGGAACAGTGCCCATGTTCTAGACCTGTGAATACTTCGGGGGGAGAAGGAGGCAAACACCACTCAGCACCCCACAGGATGCAATAAAAGCTCACACAGCTGTGCATGTCTGTGTGCAAGGAGCTGTTTGCAAGGATGCAAACTGTTGAAAAGAACTTCCATACTTCCTTGAAAATGTTTGTTCAAGCAATTCTGATTACTGCTGCAGTCTTACGAAAAATTTGTCTAGACTAGAAAAAAAATTAGCTTATGCCTCTGAGTTAACACACTTTGAAGCAACACCTAGCATCTAAGGTAGATACAACATTTTAAACGTTGTTGACAGGTTTAAAAGGTGCCAGTTCCACTTGAAAAGAAAGCGAGCTGTGTTTCAAACTCCTCACAACTGGATGTCAGCCACAAAGAATTCTGGCAACATGCACAAACACATGGAATTCAGGTTACTATAATCCAATTATAAATCAGAGAAAATGGAAAAAAAAAAAAGTATTGAGTATCATAAATGCAGGATATATAACATAAAGGAATATCATATCAGGTTTTTAAGGCCCGTATTTGCTACAGAAGGAGTATGTTCCAGTCCAACGGGGTTAGTTAAGTATGTAAGCATGTCGTATTGCCAAGGTCTATATAATCCTGCCTTATGAGTAGATTTCTTGTTTGGTAGTTGCATGTAAGGGCCCATCAGCACAGGCACTCCTCCAGGAGGGGCAGCCAAAGAAAAATACTTAAGTCTAGTAAGATCAGTGGAAATTCTCATTTGTCTGTTTTAAACTGAAGGCAACTGCAATACTACAAGCATATTACAAATCTAATAACACAGGTATTTTAAAGAATATTTAACCTTTTCATAAATTAACTAATGAAAGCTACATGCATTCAGTGATCTAAACTTACCTCATAAACAGCAAGGTCAATACCAGCATAAGGAATTATACCCAGAATATTAGGAATATAGCCTTTGTAGAAAGCCTTTACACCTTCTCTTTTTAAGATCTTCTTAGCACAGTCAAACATCCCAGCATATTGCCCTGTTTTACCCACAGCCAATCTGGTCTTTAAAACCTAAAGGGGAAAAAACAGTAGCCTTAATTACATACCTATTAATTAATTTATTTTATAAAGACAGGAAAATACAGCATCTCTCTGCTTATTCACTTGTCTGGAACTGCTTTACCTTTTTGTACTTCAGATCTCCTTTGTGATGACTACGGTTAAGGCTTTGTTAGCAGTAGGCTTCTTCAGGTTTATCATTAGTGCAGAGTAGCACACATACTACCATACACTAGCTTACAAATTATTAGCCTTTTAAGATTGCATTTTAGCTTTCTTTTTTTGATTACAAGAGGCAGATTTTTGATCAACTTGAAGGCAACAGTGCGGGCAATATTTAATAGAAGCATTAGCTAAAGAACGAGAGAATTAACATACTAGCAGATCACACTTCTGATCTGAGAATAGCAAAGTATATTAAGAAAATAATCTTTCTAAAAGCACAACACTGAGAGGTAGTTAAGGGATGTAAAGATTACATCTCACTACTGAAACCCAGAGTCTGATTAATAATGCAGACAAGTCTATAAAGCATCTTAGGACAAAGAAATTAATAACAGTATCCAAAAGAAACCACAGAGGGAATTTCCTGAGCAAGAATTTGGCCTACTTTAAAGCCTTATAAGACTGCAGCTTCCTCAGGAGTTTCCTGACACTTTGCTTTTCTCTTTTATTTAGAAATACACTAAAAAACACTTCTAGGACAGTATTATATCTTTGTTAGGAAGATCAGAGCATCTTATTGTAGAATAGTTCATCTGTCGCCATTGATCAGTATAATCCAGATGATCTACATAATATTTCAGTTATTGTATAACTTAACCCATCTCTGTACTCAGGCTAGCTGTGATTCAGCAGCTCTAACAGCAAGGATGCTATGTAAAGAGAGATCATTATCACTGTCAGCAATAAAAACAAGTTCGTTCTATTTCTACTGACACCTGTCCCTGTGAAAAAGGTATTTAGGTTACATTTTCCATTACTTCCAAATCATAACACTGGCATTCGTTTAATCCCAGACCCAACATCTATTCCAGGTATTTGTGAGAGATAAACTTTCTGGGGAACCAGCAGTAAAGGAAGTACATCCTACTTCTATTTTTAAAAAGCAGGATGTGAAATAGCTACCCTAGAGTAGTTAATATATTAACTCTAGTTAAATTGAAACATGTATAGTACCACATATGAATATGTCCTACAAAGGAAGTAACAGTTAAACCACCCAACTCAACTGTAGCTGTTATAACCTCCCTCCATACTGATCTCCTAATCAGACCCAGCTCCCAACCATAATGCAAAAGAACTTCATCAGTTCTGCTACAGACAAGACCATCCCTTGCTTAGATACAGTGGGAAAAAGACTTATGCTGAATTTAGAAAATACCTGAACATGTACTTAATTTTAAATGTGTTATTAGATTGTTTTTTCCCTGAACTAGGTTTTATTCAAAGATTGCTTTAGACAATATTATACACCCAAATATATAGAAAAATTACAAGTATCATTTAGGACATAGTATATTCTAAAATGCCTAGTACTGAAATTCTGAAAGGAAATTCAAAGTAAAAATAATGAGGATATAAGAATATAAATTAATTCCTACACTACTTTCAAGAGCAAAATGGATTTTACTTTGGAAATGAACCAGATATTTGGCAGTCTCCAATGGAAGCAGATTCTCTGTCACTTACCTCCATGGGATAAATAGAAGTTTGTGCTGTTGCTCCAGCCAAAGAACCAGATACAAATCTTTCAATAGTGCCTAACTTCCCATCATCCTTAGTGAGAATCTTCTTATACTGTATAGTCAAAACACATAAAATAAGCATCACACACTTTTTAGGAAAGGCAAGTGTTACTACAAAAGGCAGGAATACAGCACAAGATGGTTTTTCAAGCTGTACTTACTTTTTCATGTATTTACAGCTACATTTACTAAACCAACAAATTTAGCACTATACTCGCTGCAACTCTGTGGACAAAGATTCTCAAGACTACGATACATACTCCAGCCTGCAAGAATCCTTTAAACATCTCAGCCACCACAGTACTGTCAGGTATTGTACAAACAACCAAAGCAAGGGTACCCACACGATGGCCCCCAGATAATAGAGGAACCCGACTCCTTTGCAGATCCAATTCTCCAGTCAGAGAATCAAAGATCAGCTACCTTGTTCAGAGACACTTAGAGAGCTCTACATACTGTTTCATTCAAGACAGAGACACCGTCATGCAAGAATGCACCATCAGCTCTGAGAAGGCAGAGCAAGAGTAAGAAATAATGTGCTCAAGGTTACTCTATGGCATCAAAATCTGCCGTTCAGTTCTGCGATATTCCAAAGTTTGCCTGACTTTTTCTTGCCTATATTTGATAGCTGTGCAGAGATGTGCAATATGTTCATTTAGTCTTACTCAAGGCACTAGCAAGTCCCACAGAGGAAAAATAAAGATCATTTAACTACACAAGAATGGGAGTTCATTTTCCAAAGGAGGATTAGGCCTTAACATGATGCTTAAAGCTGATTCAGAGGTAAATATAACTCTGAAATCCAGGATGATTTCAGAGGTGCTATCTTACATAGCACCATGATATCTGACTTAAAAAGAATCCTGTATAAGTTCAGCTAACATAATGTGCTAAGTTTTTGGTGGTTGTCACTCTGAAGCAACAAACTAGATATTAATACAGTACTCCATATGAAGCTATGCAGACTGAAGGACAGTTTAAGATGTATGACAGATTTAGTTTATTTACACTGCTTATAATACAATAGCAAGATCTGTCTAACATCAAGTACATCTATTAACAGAATACCATTATAAGAATTCCTATATAATATAACAGTGCAAATAATGAACAGTGAGAATGATACAGTACTTTATTTACCATTATTTTCCTTCCTGATTTATCATCCTACCTGTTCATAAGCCCAGAACTTAATAGCTGTTTCAGGAGCTATTTTCACAACATTTACACCATTTCCCCTCCAGAGGGATCGAACACCACCTTCTTTTAACATTTGCTTAAAACCACTGGCTATATTCATTTTGTTTGATTTTGAACCATGAACCTAAAAAAAACCAAAGTCACAGTAAGGAACATTGCTCTGATTAGACTGTAAAACTCATCACCTAAGTATTAAATTGCTTAAACGTATCAAGTAGCAAAATCACATCTACCATTGAGAAAAAAAAATATCTTATTTTAGTGGTACAAGTACTATAATATTTTGTTTACATTTCAGTCAATATGGAAAAGACAGTTTTCATGAATACAAATATGGAAATTTTCAAAACATAACTAGTCCTCCATCATCTAGATATTGTGTTTGGCCATCAGTTTTCTGCAACAGCTCTCTAAAAAGTGAAGCAATACACTGGAAACTAAAACGTTCTTGAACATTACACCTACCTGCATCATCACTTTAAGGCGATCTAATGGTGCTGTACCTGTTCGAGAGACAGCACCAGCCACTCCTCCTGCCAACAGCTGTTTCCACCACTGTCCAGTCTTTTTCTCTTCCTCTGTGAACTCATCTGGAACAGTCAAACTATCTCCTATATCCAACACCTATTAGAATCCAAAGCAAAGATGTGCAAAATAACTATCTCATTCCATCATCTCTACTTCATCAGCAGTTCCAATTCCAAGTTAACCTACCACCTGAGAATACGTAAATAAAATGCTAGTTAAAAATAAAAATTACCTCTAGCTTACATTCTATAATTAACTTGCTATGGATTGCTATTGCTATTCAATGAATTTCACTTCTTCGGTTAATAGCAATGCAATAGCACTTCTACATAGATAATGAGCAATAACACCCCAGACCCACCATTTCAAACACTGCACCATCATCATTAAAAATTATGACAAATTTCCGCTTTGAGTATGGCCCAAACAAAAGCATTCTGTCACGATCAGTAGACCTTTACAGTCAGCACTAAAGCTCAAATGCTCATATTGCAGCCAACCTTTCAGCAGACAACCTTCTGGGATTAGTTTGATAATCTCCTAAGGATGCTAACAAGAGATTTCTCTCTCACATGGTAATTTATTCACACATATGTGGGATTTCTCCCCTCCCCAACATTTTAAAGCAGCATTTTTATAGCTGATATATCAGAATTTTCTATTTCTGGTAACTGTTATGTATTATCTTACAAAACAACAAGTTTGACTAATGCTTTATACATTTTCTTATAATAAGTTACACTGAAAGACACATTAATGACTTTTTCAGCTGTGAAAGTTTGAAATTTCATTAAAAGGTGCATGTTTGTTTTACCATTCATATTGATCAAAGAAGAACATTACTTTAGACTTTAGCAATAAAACTGTCCAAGACCTAAGACTATGGAATCTCACATATCACTTAAACATAGTCTCTGCTCTTCACGTAATTTATAACCATCATATATGAGAAAAAATACACCATAGATAATGCAATGCCAGTATTATGCATAAATTAAACCTATAAAGAAGCAGAATGTTTTAATAACTGGTAAGTACTGACCAGAAAGTATGTTAACTGACAAACTTTTTTTCAGCTACTACTGGTTTTAATTCTAGACACCATGTCCCTAATTTATGCTGTGTTCCCTATCTGTTAAATAGACAGAAAGCTGTCTTGGTCATCTGGAACACAAGAATGGTAATATGCAGATTATAGATACAGCCACCGGACAAACAGGATAAGCACCAACTATTCTGGATATTGAACACAGAACAGATTAATAGGAAAATCCCTTCATCTTTCTGACATTCATCGTTTCCAAGTAAGGTGTCATCAATTGCTCAATTACATGGAATCATCAAAAGATCAACCAGAACTCTCAAAATATAAATTCAGTGTTCTTAGAGATAGTACGTATATCTACCAGGGTTTAGACCTTGTGTCTCCTGAGCCCTAAACACAACTAAGAAAAAAAGCTAATTTGAGGGTGTTTATAACAAAAAGACCACAGCTACCAACTCATTAAAATTCTATGCCAATGCAGCTATTGGCTTGGAAGAGTCTGACAGCAATTAAAATTTTACAATAAAAACAGAATTGGAAGAGCTGTCAATGCCAGCCAGGCACATGAGGTCTCACATCTGCTCTTATCTGAAACACCAGCTGTGTTGCCATATAGCTGGATTTTGCTTGCTGTGATAACAGGGTCATCAGCTGACTGCAACACTGGAAGATCACAAGAGACTACTAAAATTGTTTCTTGGGGTAACTAATGACATTCCATAACAATATTTAAAAAACAAAATAATCTCATGTTTAATAATAGTAACATAAAGAATTTTATTACAGTAAAGGGTTTTTTTCCACTAAGTAAACTAGGACCAGGACTATTTGATCTCATAGCAGTGCTTCAAGTGTTTTTGTCAGCAAACAGGGAGCTAACTCCCTTTTGGCAAGTATTTCTGAATTGAGGTTGTACAGTGTGAAACACTCAAAGCTTTCACATCTCATAAACCGGTTTTTTTATTATAAAAATGCTGACTAATCCCTGAAGATATAAATGGTCTCACTATATTCAAAGAAATCTGTCTTTACCTAACTTTATGGATTACTTCAATAATCTACAGGAAGGATACTTAGTAAACAGGATTACTATTGGTTTACTTATTATTTGTTCTTTAAAGTCAGTCACTGTGGTAAGTCACAGGTGGCAAGAGCTCCATTCAATAGTAATTTAAAAAAAATTACCTGCACAGTGCATAGCCTACTGCTGTATATTGTCATTCCTAAATGAAATTCTATAGCACAAAAGTGTGAGAATTTATGCACAGAAAATCACTAATGACACCAGTGATTTTATGAGAATGTTACTATATAAAGGCAAATACTGAACTAATTTCAACATAATAAACAGTTAAAATGTTTCTGTAATTTGTTTCAACACAGCAAAAGCACTGAACATAAGAATGTACTGTATTGTGAAAACAAAATAATTTAATATTGTGGTTATTATCTTTCTGTGGAATATTTCCAAAGGAAGAAAAGGATTCCTTCCTAAGAACTACTGATAATTAATTGCTAAAGTTTGCATTAAGTTCTCTGTTCAGAAGAAACTCACGTGACACTATCCTTCTTGTAAATGGTACAGCACAGTGAAAAGGAAAACCAGACAATCTTAAATACAGGTACGCTTTAAATAGAACTACTGTGAAGCTGTATTGCAAATATTCAATATTGCAAATCAACACAGCAGAGATGAACTTAAGAGCTGCACTAAGTTAAAAGAAAAGTTGAACTTACAGTGGAATGTTTCCAATATCGAATTATTTCCTCAATGTCTGTAGCTGGGTTAAACATAAAATGATCTCTCCACTCATTCCAGTCTACTGACATTGTCCCATCAGCATCAATACTGAAAAGAAATTGAGCAAAACCATGTAAGGAAATAGTAGCAGGGATGGGGCTTTATCCTGTTTTGTTGCCTTTTTTTTTTTTTTTTTTTTTTTTTTATCACATCAGTGACAACTGACTGTAAATTCAATATAGACTTCGAGGCTGAATCTGCCATGGCCTTTCAATACTATGCTTTTCTTATGCAAGTGTATCTGACATTCCATTTAAAAACATAATATAATGCTTCATTCTATCAACAACATTTACAGGGAAATAAGATAACATTTTCCTCCCAGAACCAGAAGTTCAAATAGCGACTAGACTTACTATCACCCAGGAACACATGGAATATGTGAGAATTCCTATAAAGACACCATTGAAGGTACCAACAGCTTTCAAGGTTATAATCCCATTTATCCTACTCTCTGAATTACAAAAATATAATAATTAACAATATGAAGAAGCTTAGAATTAGAATACTTCAAGAAATAATAATTCCTGACCTTTGCAGGATCTTTTCTGCCTGTTTTTCTGAAATGCTTATACCCAAAATCTTGAGGGACTGGACAACTTCTGATGGTTCAATTTTTCCTTGAAACAATAAAAAAAAAAAAAAAAAGCTACATGTTAAGAACATGGAGCCTAATACACGTAGCACTTTGGAGCTCACTAAGTTACACTGTAACGCTTACATAATAGCAAAGATAATTTAAAATTAAACACAGATGGTGTACTTTATCTATTACAAAGACTGAGCAAAGGTAAGTACATTAAAATCATGCAACCAAATGAGATGCAAACATTCAGTGAGTTAAAAATTATTTTATCTTTAATAGATACTTAGAAACTTCCTTATAGTTTCTCCATCTGGGGAACAAAGAGCCCCAGATCAACAGACCTGGAAGATAATAAAAAAGAAAAGATACTATAATAATTTATTATTTCAATCTATAGTAAACTATAATTATGATCCTATTAAGGAGAAGAAGTAAGGGTTCCATACTGACAATTTTTTGTCTCTGGCTTAGGCAAAGAATATAAATGAAGATAACTTTTAATGCACAGTATCTGCAAACAATGTTTGAGCAAAGAAAATAAATCAAGGCATACCATCATTGTTTTTGTCCAGGCTCTTAAATGCTAGTTTCATCTTTTTCTCATGATCTTTAAGATACTGCATAAATTCTTCAAAATCTAGCTGTCCGTCCTGGTTAGTATCTCCAGCTTTAAAAATTTTCTGTTGAGAGAAAATTCAACATTTGACTTTTCCAAATTACAGGTCACAAATCTACAGCAGCACGACACAGCCCCAGCTTTAAGAAAAGAATCATACTAGTCACTTTGGGAGTCAAATCAGGAAAACACCCAAGCATACACTTCAGAGCTTTATTTTGTTTTCAGAATTTAACACACATTCAGTACTTTCATAAAGGAAAAAAAAAAAGCAGCAAAGACAGACTTAAGAAAGCATTATTTATTATTTACATAATTTTCCTATTCAAAGATTTTAAGGTTTCTTACCAGCATTGGCAAACTACACCTACAGGTATGAAATAACTGGGAGGGCAGGGAAGGTGCGGGGGTGGGCACGCAGGGTCAGGACAAAATCAGGAAACTTTAAGCCTGTGACTTTCCTGATTATACATGAAATTTGTCAGTATGTCAGTAAAATTGAACAAATACAGTCTTAACTAGCCTCTTTAATCCAGTGGTCTATTAATTATGAAGATAAAAATACAAATACCAATTAACTGTTTAACTGTTGACCAACAAAAGTACAAAGGTCTTGCCTGACCAGCGCTTCCACCCCTCAGGGTTTGAGCAGGCAGGGCTTTCTGCTTCAGACTGAAGCCCTGACAAAAATTTAAACCAGACTTCTAACAAGAGGAGCACAGTTATCTTCCATTTTTTCATGTTTCCTAGTAACTGCCCTGCAGATAAGAAATATTTACATGTACAATAATATACAATTACCATCACTGCAGGAAACAAGTCTGAAATACAGCCTAAGCATACACTTCTCCATCAACAATGGGCCAGAATACTTTACCATCTTTTTGTGTGAAAACATAAAACATTTTTAAAACAGGAAAATTACAGCAGGCCCCCAAAAGCGAAATTCTGTAACTGCTGAGGCTTGTCTGCAAAGACAAAACCCAAAGACCAAAGCCCAGACTAACAAACTTTGCAGGATTTATTATCTTGGGCTTTATGCCACAGCAAGGGTTGCTCCACACATGGAGGGTTGCAGAGAGAACAGCAGGGCCGAGGAGAGGCAAGGCCCACAGCAAACCCCACCGGCACTTTCCATCCACTCTCACACTTCCATCTCCTCTGGCAAGATGCACAGGAAGAGGGCAAGGAAATCCACCCCAAACCCCTGCTCTAGAACACAAGATTTAAGGGGAAATTATGCCTACTAGTTTCTTTGTTTGGGCATTAGTCTCTGTGGTTTCCCTGTGTAAAATCCTACAGGGGCAGCACTCTATACCAGACAGACAGGAGACCAGCCTGGCAGCACAATCTCTTCATTAACTTGCAGTAAGTTTCAGAGAACAGGGTACATGAAAAGCATGTGCCAAACTATTTAGCAGACTGCCTCACACAACTGTAGTTTCTGAATAAAGTAACTCTCAACAAGATTTGTACCACTGTTCTAATCTGCAAAATCTGGTTTTAATCATTTTGTTTACTCCACTGTAATTAGTAGAAGTCCTCAGAAGACCTAAGTCCAACAAGTTTTAGCCTACAAAAACTAAAGAAAGTTAAAAACTGGTGGATTTATTGCAGGTGTCTGAAAAAAATTGAAGACATCTAAACACATTTATGTTACCTCCTTTATCTTTCCTATCCCTCTACTAAAAGAAATATACTTAAATGTATAATCTCAAAAAAACAAAATTCCTAAGATTATCATAGATTTCTCAATGCAAGTGAGGAAGACAATATGGTACTTCACAGTGAAATAAGCAGCAAATTGTTTGCCTCCCATAATACAGCAAGTTATGCACAATAAAATCAACCTAAGTTACCATATACTTAGATAAAGGTGTTTGGTATCAGCTTAGAAAAATGGTGTTCTTAGTATACTCTTAAGTCTGGCTTCATTGTAATTTCTATTTATAACCTGTCAACAAAAAAATACTCATCAGTTCAGTTTCATGTCCTTGCTAATATGGTTACGGCTGTTCAGAATTTCCCATTACAAAAAAAAAAAAAAAAAAAAAAAAAAAAAAAAAAAGTTCATATTTACTGAAGTTTATGGATTAATTCCTGGCCACAACCTTCTAACAAGAAATTAAGGCTCACAGCATAATTATTCAACAAAACCCAAACAAACATTAAAAAAACCCAAACCAAAAAACACCATTAAAAATTACTCTAGCCGGGAAGGAGTTCACCCCTCAAAGACACTGCAATCTCAACCCATCTTGTACTCCCCGCAAGATCCAAGTGTCCTGCTAGACTCCCACAAGCTACTGAGAAGAGGTAATTAATTTATGTGGCAGTCATACACACACTTTGAGTGGATTCACAGAATCATCTAGGTTGGAAAGGACCCTGAAGATCATCCAGTCCAACCATTAACCTAGCACTGACAGTTCCCAGCTACACTGTATCCCTCAGTGTGTTGGCCCTACTCTTGAACACCTCCAGGGATGGGGACTCCACCACCTCCCTGGGCAGCCCATTCCAACGCCTAACAACACATTCTGTAAAGAAATACTTCCTGACATCTAGTCTAAACTTTCCCTGGCACAACTAGAGGCCATTACCTCTTGTCCTGAAATTCTAATCACCACAAATTGTTACTATTCCCTACTGCTATCTGAATTACACAAACAAAAACACAGAACAAGGAAGGTAGTGTTCTGGCTCACAGGTATGACAAAACTTTTAACTAAATTCTAATTACAAAACCTCCTCTGCTGAGGATGACGTGAGCCAAAGAAAACGGAAATTCCTAGGAGGTTTAGAGAGCTGGCAATTAGCGTGTGTGAAGGGGGGCACCTTTCATCTGTCAAATGAGTGGATTTCATATTGCAACAACTAGAAAAGGACAGGCACAAACATACTCTACATTCCCTACTCCTGTTTTTAGTTATTTTCCAGACTTCACAGCAGTCTCAGCCACTCTCAGTGCAGCAAAACATAAGTGTCAGGGAACAAAAACGTACTTTTCCTCAGCAGGCACATGCATTTTTCTCCCATTACAAATCTAAACGTTCATAAACAAAAGCCTCTTGCAGTTATCAAAAGTACTAATTGTGTGGGTGTTAAACTTTCAGATTAAAACCAGTAATTTGCAAGTTTGTGGAACAAACAGTAACAATGAAAGGAGCTTGCTTTCCTCTTGGAGAGCAGAAACTCCCTCATGGAGGGTTATAGACCCTGTGGGCATAGCCAGCAGGAAGATGTGTACCTGATCCTGTGGGGAGCCTGGCACACTAACTCCCAGGTACAAACTGCCCATCCACAGCATCAAATAATTCAGGTTGGAAGGGACCTCTGGAGGCCAATCCAGCAGAGCCTGGCTCAAAGCCTGTCTAATTACATCTAATTAGATGGGGTCATGCAGGACCACATCCAATTGAGTACTGAACATCTCCAAGGATGGAGATTCCCCAGCCTCCCCAGGCAACATGTTCCAATATTCAATCACACTCACTTCAGTTCAACAAGGAATCCAACTCTGCTGTTCTGCATTTCATATACTACCAGATTTTGCACAGTTACAACCACTTGTCACCGTGTTACTTCCTGGTTCACCAACTTCTCTGATGGAGGAGAAATGGATGCATTTTAAAATAGGCACACAACAATAGAGAAGGAACCAAACTAGATGCCAGTCCTCACTTGGAAGTCCTGGGAAACAATGTTCAGTGTGCCTGCCACGTAAAACCTGCCCTTTCTTGTTTACTGACTTACTGTGGGATCACCTCACCTTTATGTAGGCCCAGCTCCAAGATGAAAATGTTTGTTTTTCAAAGCATGTAATTTATTTTCTCATTGTTTAAAAACTTTAACCCCAAGCTATAAACATAATTCACTAGATAAAATTAAATGGTAACCACATAAAGAATTGCTAATTACCGATAGATACAGAAGACAGATAGATGATCTTTCCTTTTAATACTACAGGCCTTCACATATACTGACTACAATGCTCCTGTGCTGACCTATTTGGTCATGACATTGCTCCCTCCTCCTTTTCTCTTCTTATTCCCCCTTTTTTTTTTTTTTTTTAATTCTGCTACTTTTGTTCTTTTTCTGTTGTATATTTTGTTAATACAGCTGCTGTCGAAGTCACGCACAGCAAGGCAACACCAATGTGAAAGGCCACAAGCAGTCTGAAATACTGAAGAATTTTATTTTCAAGTCTCTCAATTATATAAAGCATGTTGCAGTGTTGAATTCCTACGCCTCCAGAAGACCTCTGTATTTGGTGTGGAAACATAAACCAGCAGGTCTGTTGAAAAAAAAAATAAATCAGAAGTTACAGACAGGCTTTATATACCCTCAAAATCCTGATGCTCTGTAAGCAGCCTGATGAATTATTAGATTACTTTGTGACACAGTTATTAACTTTAACACTTTCATAGCTATGACGTAAAGACGGAGAATGCAGGACACTAGAAATTGTAATGCTTTTATGTATGCTTTTAAATTCACAGTTTAATTTTTATATCAGTATCATTGAGTATTGTGCTAAGTCTTCACATTCTGGTTACAAAACTGAATTGTGTATGGAAGGTAGGGCTGCTCAGTACAAATCATCTATTCATTAGCTTGTTATTTCAGCTCATTAATATAATGTAAAGAATATTTAAAAGGAAGTGATCCATCAAGAAGTTACTGGGTGTTTCTGGCTTCCTATCATGCCATCTATAATACATGAGTTAAAAAACACCACTTAGAGATATATAATTGGTGCAATTAGCAAGTCATTGTTCTGCAATCTATGACTAGAGTTCCAAAGGGCAAATTACAAATACTGCACAGAAAAAACACCAGCACCACAGTAAGAACAGCATCATGTCTTTGGACACTCAGATTTTCTTTTTCTTTTAAAACCAAAGGTACTACATATAAAACCAATCACAATATTCATTTCCCCTCTTCTCCCCTTCTCCTGTTCTTTCCCTCTTCACCTCCAAAATAATTAATGCCAGTCATTCACATAGCTCTGCATTCTACAATTTTAAGTTATTATACTGTAATCTTATTGGAAGCCAA